ACTTCTCCTGGCTTCTGGTAACCGCTGGCAATTCTTGGTGTTTCTTTGCTGTGTACAACGGCATTGATGGGTCTGTATCTATTCTCTGTTTGTATAAGACACTCCACGGAAGTGATGAGGTTTAGGACCCATCTTACGCTGGGATGGTCTCATTAACATAACAAAGGAACACATGTATTTCCAACAAGGCCATGTTTACGGGTACAGGGTTTAAATTCAACATGCCCCTTAGGGGTATGGAGAGAGACAAAACAGTGGATTTTTCCCTGTATGGAATGGAATTCTCAAAGAAGCCTCCAGAGATCACCTGGTTGAATTCTGTACACTGAGGCTTGTGGGTATGTGAAACTATCCAAGGTAGAAGAATATTGTCAAGCCCTTTCTTCCTTTGAAGCTCTTCAGGAACAATCACTCTACATTCTGAATCATTTCCTATTCTTGATAGGTTCATGCGCTCTTCTGGTCACCCGAGGTTGTATGCTTGCTCACTTCTGGGCTGCTAACTAATCTTCAGAAGCCCCCAAACCAAATTCACCATGATTGAGTCTATTCCGACTCACAGGGACCCCATAGGACAGGGTAAAACTGTTTATGGACAGAGAAAGGCCCGTCTTTCTTCCACAGAGCAGCTGGTGGTTGGCAGCCCAATTCTGAAGAAGTGCTCCCCCTGGGCTTCCCTTCAGAAGCACAGTACAATGAGAAGATGCTCAACATCGTTCATTGCTCATGAAATGCAAATGAAAACCATGAGCTCCTATACACCTAGTTTAGTGGCTGGCAATGAGAAAGGCTGACCATACTAAGTGTTGGGGAGGATGTGGAGGAACTGGAACGCTTGTGTGTTGTTGGTGGGAATGTAACACGATCCGACCTTTTAAGAAAACTGTTTCGTGGTTTCTTTAACAGCGAAACATGTGCCTACCACATGACGGGAGTAATTTTATTCCTAGGCATTCACCCAAGAGAAATGAAAGCCGGAGAGCATAAATATTCATAGAAGCCTTGTTTGTAATGTCCCAAACAGAAAACAATCCAATGCTACCAGATAGATGCATCAGCCAATTGTGGGGTAGCCATACAGTGCAATGATGCTCAGCAACCAGAAGACATGAGTTTTTGATACACTCAACAATATAAGTGAAGCTCAAAACAATTACAGCCAGACCGAGTCTACACATGCTGTCCTGATGGTAATGTTGGATGTTTCACCAGCAGACATATGTCAAAGCTTAACAAATTATAGTTTAAATATGCCGAGTATTATACGTCAACTCCTCCATGGCTTACCCAAGTCTACAGAACCAAGGGCATCCGTGATCTAATATCTCCTTCTACCCTTGTCTTTCAGCACTGTCCGAAACAAACTCCTTGCTCTAGTCCAGTGGTTCTCAACCTTCCTAATGCGGCGACCCTTTCATACAGTTCATGTTGTGGTGACCCCGGACCATGAAGTTATTTTCCTTGCTTCTTCCTGTCATTTTGCTACAGTGATGAATCGGGCGAACCCTGTGAAAGGGTTGTTTGACCCCCAAGGGGGTTGCGCCCCACTCCTTGCTACTTTCTAACTATACCTCACTCCATTTCCCTCTTCTCCAGCTTTCCTCATGCCGTGCCCTTTGCTGAGAGTGCCCGCCCCCCTTAAGTACCATTCTTGACTGCCCGTTGAAAGGACACCTATCCTTCAAGGCTCAGTTCAAGGCTCAATGTAAGAGCCTTCCTGAGTCCTTGAGTCAGACAGGATCATCTACCCAAGCTCCTGTCTCAGTGCCCTGTTTATGGATGTGAGTATGCGTGTACGTCCGTCTCTCTGCTACACTCTAAGCTTCTTGAGGGTGGGAACTGTATTTTGTGTTCCTATAGTCCCTAGGAAAGTGGCACATTTTCTTTCTTTTTTTTTAAACAAATAGAAGGAAGTCACATACGAACTAAATAGCCCAAACATTAAAAAAAAAAAAAAATCCTTCCCATGAAGACCTAGACTCCTGAAGGCTTACATCACTTGTCTTCTTTTTCCTCTTCTCCGCCTGCCCTGCCCTGCCCTGCCCCCAGACCTGGTTCCTCTTCCACTCACCCTTCTCTACCTTCTTCCTCTTAAGACAAAACTGTACTTATTAACTCGTTTCTTTTTTAAAAAACAGCTTTATTGGCACATAATCCACGTCATACAATTCAGTAGCGTCATCACACCAAGAAGAGTTGTACAATCATCACCAACATCACTTTTAGAACATTTTCTCCATTCTTGTAGTCATTGTTATTAGCCCCACTCCCAGCCTCATTCTCTCCCAATCTCCCCTGCCACACCCCCCGGGGAAGCACCCATGCAGTTACTGTCTCTCTAGACTCACTGCTCCTGGATTTCATAGAGAGAAGAGTGTATAAAACAACAACAACAAAACAAATCAGAGAGAAACCCCAATCCAAAAGAAAGTTAAAATATTAAAAATTAGAACAAATTCAAAATGGGCCCAAAGGGAGCTGAAATGATAAGTGTTAAATTTTAACCTAACTGCGTCGACGGTGCATCCACTTTACAGTGCATGCACGATAGCAGAGCTATTCCCGCCCCATGACGCTGGCCACGAGGAGATCCCCCTGGGTTAACTCTTTTCTTACGCCAAGGCCTGCCTCTTGCCCTTTTGTTTCTGTCAAGAGGGCACACACACGCGTCTGTAGTTTGGAATCATGGAATGTTTCATCAGCACAGTGAACATCTGCGCTCTCCTATCCAGTAAGTAGCAAGGGATGGTTGCCTTAACTCTTAATGTTTCATTTCCTCTACTTTTCCCTACTTACCTTGCCGGGGAGCTTGGTGATTAGGCTGCACCAGGGAAAAAGACTGGGCTCTCACCTCCCATGAGGCGGTCCAGTCGCGGAAACCCTCAGGGGCACTTAGGGTAGTCCTACCTTGTTGCTTTGAGTCCGACTGCATGGCCACAGGGCCATAGTCTGACTTTTTTGGGGGGTTGGTTTTGGGTGGAGCCATAGGCTGGCTCTGAATCCCAGTTCTGCCACCTACTGGTTGCGGTGTGACCTCAAGCTGGTAACTTGACTGTCAGTTTTGTCATCTGTAAATTAGTGATGTTCCTAGAGACTACATGCTCTCTGGGGGAGCAGCAGATCAGCAATGGAGGAAGGTGTGGCAGCCTGCTTCTGTAAAGATTTACAGCCTCGGAAACCCCATGGGGTCCATCTACTCTGTCCTACAGGGTCACTATGAGTCTGGCAGCAACAGATTGGGTTGAGGGGAACTATCTCCTAAGACTGTTTTGAGCATTTGGCAAAGAAGTCATGAGACATAGGGGGTTGGGAAGAGGAACCAAGCCGACCAGCGCCCGGCCGCATCAGAATTACAATTGGCTTTTAACTAAATAAAACACATTTCTGACCCTCCCCCTGCAAGCTTTGGATGGAAGCCAGGGGTCTGTGGTTTGGGATATCCTTCTCGGGGACTTGGAATGGACAGCAAGATTTGGGGATGAGCACGCACTAGTGTGGGGCAGGGAGCTCAGGACACTGGTGAATGAATGACTTGTCTGAGGCTCAGCTTTCTTTGATGTTAATGCAGTAAACACATTTGACTTCTCTATAGGGCTGCTGTGGGAGTCAGGTTATTAAAGTCATTTCTGTGGGAAAGCTGGCTGGCTATAGTGAGAGGAAAGGGGTTTTAGAAAGAGGCAGATCTGGATGGGAAGTCCACTTCTGACGCTGTGCAGACATCGATAGTCGACCAGCTTCAACCCAGGCCCCCCCTTTCTCCTGACAGAACCAGAGGGTGCTCACGGTGTGTGGTCGTGAAGGAGCCCGGCAGTGTGGTGGGTGATGAGATGGGCCGCTAACTGAAAAGTCAGCAGAGAAGTGTGGGGCTTTCTTCTCCCATAAAGACAGTGTTCTACTCTGCCACACAGGGTCGCTATGAGTCGGGCTAGAAACCGTGGCAGTGAGTGTTGGGTGTTTTGTTGTTGATTTTGTGTCTTGAGCTGTGTACTGACCACAAGGCCAACAGCTGGGACCAACCAGCAATCTCCGAGGACAGAAGATGAGGCTCTTTTAGTCTAGGAAATCCACCGGGGCAGTTCTATTCTGCCCTATGAGCTGGACTAGATCAGATGGTAGTGGGCCTGTGCCAGGGTCTGAGCTGTCATTATTACCCAATGACAAGGACGCTCCCAATCGCATTGTTTTGGTTTTCGCTGTTGCTGGGGTGCTGGTAGTTGCTGCAGCTGTCATATTTTCTGGTGCTTTAGCTACGGTATTGTGCTAAGTTGTATCTGAGAACCTGTCTGAATATATATATTTTTTGAGAATGAAGTAGGAATTAAAAGGAGAGAAACCGTAAAAGGCTGGTTTCTACTTAGTCAAAAGCTCTAAGTCCATGCAGAAAGAAGGCACAAAAATAATTTTGTTGCATTATTAATGGGATCTAAGAAATAGTTCAGTTAAGCAACCCACAGCTGCATTTATCACACACTCGTCTCTGATTAAAGTTGATAATAAGCTGCAGGATCGGATATGGGAAGAGGCCCGTGATACTGGGGGAGGGAGATGGATACCAACCCTGTGGACCCTGCTGCTTCCCAGGTGCTTGTCTTGCTGGAAACTGAAGGCCCTGCATCTTTGGTTTGGGGCCTAGGCGGTGGGGTGGATGGGGTGGGGGGAGAAGGGCTTTGGTTTTCATTGCTATTGCCACCTGCCCACGGCATGGCATTTCTGGACCCACACTTGTGCCTTATGACCCACGGGAATGTCCATGACTCATCTAAGCCAGCTGCCCTCCCTGCCAACAGGGTCCTGCAGGTTCCTGTCGCCCATTGGCTTTTGATCATTTCAGCTGCTGATGAATTCCACAGCACCGAAATCCAGCCTCCCGAAGCTCTCATCCCACAAACCTTAGGCATAACAAGAGTCATTACAAAGCGATTTTTTGGTTTGGTTAGCTTCTTTTTAACAAATGCATTCATCCTCCATTATTATTATTATTATTATTATTATTATTATTATTATTATTATTATTTTTATTTTTTAAAGACTGAACAGCAAAAACCCAAACCGCTCTTTACTTTGGAAGTAAAGAAGATCATGCCGCCAGGGGGTCCTCTGGGGCCCTCAGCAGACGTGCCTGCTCCCTGCAGGGTCCCTGCCATCCACGGCCGGCCGGATCCTGTCCTCGACAGACTTGAGGCTTTTGCCTGATCCTTGGCTCCTTCTCACACCAGCATGGTGGTGACGTTCCCTCAATCGGTCCGGCCCGAGTGCTCCTCCCTCATGGCCTTCACGAGCCAGTCTCGCTCGGTCCCCTCCTCCGAGTCGCTGGAGTCGCTCATCTCCATGGTCAGCAGCTTTGAGTAGTTGATTCTCTGCTCTCGGGGCAGCCTGGCCTGGATGGCGAGGAAGAGGGCCAGCCAGAGGAGCAGGGCCACGGCACAGGCCCGGTAGAGCACAGCCAGGCCGGAGTGCATCACCACGAAGCCCGCCACGATGCTGCCCAGGCTAGACCCGCCCCTGTACAAGTGACCCTGGAACATGGCCCTCAGAGACCTCTCTGTCCCAGGAGTGGCCAGGTCCTCTAGCCAGGCCTCGACTGCCCACCAAAGAGCCCCATGGCTGAGGGCGCTCAAGATCTGGACGGGGAGCACGGACCACCAGCTCCAGAGGAAGGAGTAGTAGATCATTTGCCCCGCGAGGCAGGCCAGCCCCAGGCCCACCGTGCCCACCCTGGTCAGCTTTGCAAGCAGCGCCATCCTGAACGGGTGGAGCAGCATCTCCCCCAGCAAGCCGAGGGCGACCGAGAAACCCATGACCAGTTCGCTGCTGCCGTGGTCTTCCATGTGCCAGAACAGAAAGTTCTGCACGGTACTGGCGGCAGCTCCTGCCAAGAAGGCGGTGAAGGCCAAGAGGAGGAGCCGGGGGCTGGCCCCTAGAAGGGACAGGGCTTTGATGGTTCTGTGGCTGGGCTCTCGCCACCGGCAGGTGGGGATGGGGAAGGCGGTGCTCACCAGCAGGGCCAGGGTGCTGACCAGTGAGTAGCCGTAGAAGTGCACCACGCCCCGGGGGCCACGTGTCACCAGGTAGCAATCCATCTGCCCCACCAACGCTGCGATGCCACACACGCCCGCGGATGTGCCCAGCAACCTCCAGACCCACAAGCTTCGGTAGCGGTCAGTGGCATCTACAAAGTCCAGGTATTCGTAAAGGCTGTCATCTGCCACCGGCTCCAGGGGGGCTGAAAGCAGCTCCCAGAAGACCAAGGTCCCCAAGGAGAAGATGAAGGTCCATCGTAACCCTCCCAAGGAAAGGGCCAGGGCCAGGGCTTTCTCCCTGCCCGCCGCGGACACGTTGGATGGCTGCCCCAGCTCTGGACCCTCAGGAGGCACAGGCCCAGCAGTACTGACCTCCCCAAAGGAAGAGCGGTGGTGGAGGAGGCTGGGAGCTTGGGACGTGGTCCCGGGTCCCTCCACAGTGTCCACTACATGGCTGGGCCGATGACGGTGAGGCTCTGGGTCACCTTTATCTGCTGGTCCTGTTCTGATGCCAGACGCTGCCAGGATCCCAGGCCTCTTGCCCACAAGGCGGTTGGGAAGTCCTACTTGGTGGGGTGAGGCCGACTCTGGAGCCCGGGTGATGTTCACCATCCGTGTGACCCCCAGTGGCACGCCGGTGGTGGCCATGCGGTTGCTTCCATTACAGGAGTGAGAGGCCAGGTCTTTGTCCTGGGGTGGGATCAGGACCATCAGCAGGCTGGCTCCCACCGAGCCCAGCAGTGAGCCAATGAGAAGCACTCTCCTCTTCTGGTAGCTCTTGGCCAGGAAAGCGCAGAAGGGCGCCCAGAAGGCAGTGACCAGGTGCTTGCTTCCCATTAGGATGCCCACCCAGGGCGCCGTGAGACCCAGCTGCCTCAGGTAGAGGGTCAGGAATGGAGTCACGCAGCCATCACGGACCGCACACACCAGGTGGAAGAGCCTGGCCACCCCCAGCGCCCGACTGATGTCCCACTGGGGGTTGGCGCTCATGGCGGCCGGGGCCCCC